GGGGTCCATGGCAAAGCCCAAAGGGTCCATTACACAAAATGTTTGGAAACCTTTATGGTGAGGATCACTTTGATTGATTTGATATTGAGTGGACTGTAAATTATAAATATTTCATCACCATAAGAAGATGTGAATAAAACCACTATTTAATTTATGACATATATTGAACTACGCTCTACAACCTTCTTCTCTTATTACATTTGCTAGACTCTCTTATTATTATATGTTACAGGTATTTATATTCATATAATTGTATCCCCTACCCCGAAGGGTCCCAGGTTAAATAAAAGCCCTGGTCAAATCTTGACCATACTGCCGGCCCTGCATTATAATTAATGCTGAACAATTGATTAAATATTACAAAAATATGACTTCTTATTATCTAATATCTTTTACCCTGTAACTTATTATCTATCATTTTATTATATATTTCTTAATTAGTAATTAGTAGAACATATATCAAAAGTAAAATTAACATTAAAATTGAACTATAAAAATTACAATTAATACATTTTAGTCAAATCATCTAAACATACATGTGTAAGTGTATCAAAGAATACGATTAAAATGAACTCTGAATTATAAAAATATAATCATTTAGTTGAAATTATCCAAACATATATGCATAGGTATATCAGTAAATACATCAGTTTTATAACCATTACATGATACATTAGTTAACAATATTAATATCATCTGTAAAATCAATCAAGACATATTTTTGATTCCGTAGATGGCGACATTGTAACTGTCGGCTCTTAATTATAATTAAATGCAGACGTAAATCAAAATTGAAAATGTATTATTATTCTTAGTGACATCACTGTTAACAAGTCAGTTAATTATTACGCAATACATCAGTTAACGCGTCTTATAATAAAAAATAGACCACGTGATAGATTGAAGCGACTTGTAACATCTTCATAAACGCGAGTGATCGGTTTGTTGTATAAAAGCTAGTAAAACCGAATTTAATATTCCGACTTCTATCCGTTTGTCTCATGTCGCGAACAATGTTGCAATCATTAATAAATATTACGTACAATGTAATTACTCTACTACTTACTTCTTTAAAACTAAATTGGCATAGCCCAATTGCGCAATGCATCTGCCGCCAAACGAAAGTTAAGATCCTTGTCAAAAGTTAAATGTTTATACGTGTATGTGCAAGAAATGGTGCACAAACAGTTCCATAATTACAGGATTCAAAATATTTTAATTTTTTATCGGGGTTTCTGCACCGCCAATTCTTGTTTCGCGAAAGTTTTTTTGAAAAGAATGGTTCACACGTTTCTTTGTGTGTCGATAATTTATGTAACTTTTCAACGCGTGTAACTTTACCATGTTTAGTGAGAGATTCTGTGACGGATATATGATTATTATTTGCCTTGCTATTGATTATATTTGACTCATATCTACCCGTTAGTGTCCAACCGAATACCGTGTTTTGTAAATAGGCTTAGCGGGACCTAGAATAATTCTTTCGTTACCGAGAATTTCGAAAAACGTATCAACCCTATCAGCATATCTATTTCGCGAGGTATATTGAAGTTTGGATCCGAAAGAATTAATCCAATTGGCAGATTTAGTTTAGAAATTTGAATTTGCTGCGCAGGTAGTGGACTCGATATTTTCTCGAGCACAAATGCATTTATTTTTTTTATAAATGTGCTATCTTCATTCGATATTTCTAAATTTATAAAATTATTTGATTGCGTTGAAATCCCATCAACACCGTGCAGTTTAAGGCTCGTTGATTGAGATTTCACGCCCAACTTTTTAAATAGCGATTTTGATATTATATTAATTTCCGAACCTGAATCCAATATTGCTCGAATTTTAACACGGCTTCCTTTATTACTTTTCGCAAACAAATTTACTGTAGGTAAAAGCGCACCCCCCGTCGCGAGATTTGTATTCATAACCATATTAGACGTATTGCTAGCATTGTCGGGTTCGTCTATACCTGGCCGATTAATATTTATTTGCTTATCTTTATGGAGCAAACTATGATGTTTCTGAGAACATATCCCACATCTATACCTTTTAAAGCATTTATGTCGTAAATGTCCCCTTTGCAAACAATTAGAACATAATCCGTTGCCGCTAATAAAATTCTCTCGATCAGATAATGCCATAGAAAGAAATTTGGAGCAATTTACTAAATAATGATTATTATTGCATAAAGCGCATGCATTGTCAACATTATTCGATCGGGACAATAAGGATTTCCTCTCTGTAGAGTTGTATTTATTTAAGGTATTTAAATTTATTCCTTGTGATATTTCCAATGCCGTTCTTTGTTGGTCTAAAAACGTGAAAATTTCCAACACCGTCGGTAACTGTTTTTGGCATCTGCAACTATTAAATTTAACCCTAGTACTTATGTCAAATTTATTCAATAATAAAAGGCTAACAACTGATCCCAATTATCAACATTAGTGTTAATAGCCTTAAGCGAATTAATAATTTGCTGAGCGTTATTAGAAAAAGATTTTATGTTTGATGAATTTAATTTAGACAGTGAAGGTAAATCTGTTAATGCTTGTAAATAGGAATAAGTAATTAGGCAAACATTCTCAAATTTCGCGCACAATAAATCTAACGCTATCTGGTAATTACTGTCACTCAACTGCAAATTATTAATTGCTTCT